CAGTGATTATTATTAACGTAACCTTCAGGTATGTTCTACCCACGAGGTTACAGAGAGCCTACAAATGCAGTGACAATTATTAGATTTTAGTGCAACTATCAGGTTGAGTTCCTCCATTAAAAGAGTTTTTTGCTAGGGTTAAACAAGTTTGGCTTTCATGAGTTTCAAGGTGCAAGAAATTATCAGTATAATTATAGCACACAAACATTGTCATCTAATTTTTCGCACGTAGCCGGAATAAGCCAAGAAATGAAGCACATATAACGAAAAATCGTTCTCAGATGATCTCCATATTAAATAAATTATACTAAACGTTGCGAAAGAAATTATTGTTCGTATCCGTCTTATCCATCGTAAAAGCGAGGGGTCATCGCATGACATCCGGTATATTAAACAGAGGTAATACTCACGGGTTTCACGAGTTGTATGCACTATTTTTCGCCGAGAAACAAATTTAAACTTCAATTCTTACCTTACAGTAGTCCGTTCTTTTACCTTGCATTCGACAACAAATCTGTTAAAGGCGAACAAAGCGATTCCGGCACTCTTCTTTATGATGAGTAGCAAGCCGCAGGAACTGAAGCCGCTTGACTGAAGTAAAATCCACCGATATGCACGGCATTCTCACTACAAATATAAACAAACGTTGCGGGGAAAAACAGACGAGGAGGAAAAAATGCCAGATCTTCGCCTTGGCAATGTATTCCAGCTACCATGCCGGCGTATCTCCAGAAGGTGGACTCGAAGTGGGACAAACCTTGTGATTTTTTTTAGACGCCCTTTGCGCGCAAACTAATTTATTCTGGCGCGAAATGAAGATTAACAATAGGTATACTGAAATCTAATCCACGACAAGAAGATTTTCGCACTGTAGCGCGACATATTAAATGCCTATTTTTACAAGTACGCGGAGAAAGTGGTCCACTAGTTTAACTTTTTTAAGATGAATTTACTCCACAAAGGCAAAATGAATGTTTTATCTCTATGTTTTTTACGTGCCGGATTAGAAGGCAGAAGTAAATTCATCATACAGACCCCACCAAAATGAAAGTACACGAATGAAACGGAATAAGTCTGGAACGGTTTAGTTTCTACTCGGCAGCTTCTTTGCTTTTATAACAAAAATTTAATGTTGCAGTCTGTTTTAAACGTTGGCATATCAACGCGCACAGTCACTGAATGAAAACAACAGTCACGATCACGTTCTTCGAAACCGACCAGACGCGCGCGACCTACCACTGTTATGGCAAGCAATTATCCTGAAGGTGTTAATGTTCCCGTGACAGTCTTCGCACTGAAGGTGTAAATGGTAAACCGAACGGTCGCTTTGATCATCAGAAAGACTTGTCAACTTTGATGATTTAACTGATTAAATTACGGGACAGAAATTTTACTCCTTGCGGCTCCTCGTGACTAGAAGACCAAGCTATCAGCAAAGTTGATCACGCTAAATCATTAGGTCTCATTATCGACAATCGGCTTTCCTGGGCTAATCATGTTAACGAATTGTGTAAGAAGGTAACTTCGGCTATAGGTGCCCTTAGGCGTATCGGGCCGCTTATTTCCCAATCTACCGCGGTACTAGTCTATAACACCTTGATTCAAACTCACTTTGATTACTGTAGCCTTATTTGGGACAGCTTAAGTGATCATTGAGTGACAAATTACAAAAGTTACAGAACCGTGCAGCTAGAGTAATTTTAAGGCCAACTATAAGGACTAGCTTGAGCCTGCTTCTTGACAATTTAGTTATATGAAGAAAGAAGCATAAAGCGATAATGATGTTTAAAACTGTGAAAGGTTTGAACCCAGGAGTCATTTCAAAAGTAGGCTGGGTTTGACCGTCCGGGTGAACGTAGTCCTGAATAGTACTGTTGTTGTTGACAATGACTGACGTTTCGACAACCTGTGCGGTAGCCATCTTCAGAGTCAAAGTGAATTGTATCACGTCAGTTGATGGTATTACACTCTGGTTATTGATCTGATCGGTCAATTACGTCCGTAATGTTATTGGCTATGAAGACTCGTAATCAGTAATTGGTGCGTTTAGATCCGTCTATTGTCACAGTTAAACAGTCGTCTATTGTTAGTCAAATTGTCAGTTCTCCAGTCGTTCTCTCGTACTAGCTTAGTTTTGCTTGATCTTTTGTGTTCGGTCGGTCTCGTGCTAAGGTTTGTGCCGGTCTCACCAATGTAACAAGCCTGGCAGTCGCAGCATTTGATCTTGTATAGTGCTCCCTGTCTGTCCTCCGGTTTGTCTTGTCTTTGACAAACGTGCTGACAAGACAGCAGAACAGCACCGCGCGAGCTTTCAGTTACAGCAGTGCTTTGTTGTGGAACTCTTTAACCGAAAATGAGAGAGAAATTAAGTCTATCAGGAAATTTAAAGAGCAAATTAAACATCTATTTGGGTCACCAGACCCTCACTTGGCAGTCTTCTAAAACAGTATGTCAATAGTTTTTTGGTCTAATTTGTAATTAGATTTTTACTATATTATTACTGAAGATTTCACCGAGTTTTTAAATACAGGTTTTAAAAAAATTTAATTCGATTTCTCGGCTAACCTGAAGTCCTGAGGAATTTCGACACCATGACAGAATTGCCGAAAGCCGAGCAAAAGTCAATCGCCGAAATGCTAAAGAGTCGCTTCGCAGCATTATGCTGATGTAAGCGTCCGGCTTCCGAGGTATGAGCCTCATTTGCCAACTGAAGTGCAAGAGTCCTGCTACGAAAAGCTTATGCTGAAGCATGAAGATGTTACAAAGCTGATCGAGAATGATGAAGATTTTGCAAAGGAAGAAGAATGGCTTGAAAGGGCTCTAGAAATGTTTATAAGAGTGGAAATTAGTACTAAAAAGTATGTCACTGATCAAAGTATAGTAACGTTGATGTGGGGGACAATGATGTATTCAATAGACTAAATAGTAGCAGTTGTGTCCGTAAACATATACGGACATACATACATACAGCCACACATACACACACACACACACACACACACACACACACACACACACACACACACACACACACACACACACACACAGTCAAACCTCTTTTTTGTCTCTAAGTCGCTTTTATTCGTCTGCGGTCATTGGCCTATAGCGGTTTTCTGGAGCATTGAATAATATTTTACCTGATTTGTAACACGATTGTATGACGGTTTTATGTTCGATCTGCAGTAAACACAACCTCATTCCCGAGGATCCTCTCCTATCAACATTAAGATTTACTACTGAAATCAAGGACACAAATAACTCCTCTGCGAAAAAGTATGTTGCCAAAATTTCCTTACGTCCGCTATTACAAGGCCGGTGAATGCATGGTCTAACAGACAGCGAAAAGAAAAGTGTGGGTTTTTTTGTCCTTTTTGGTTGGAAGAATTTCATTCCATTTTGCTGAGTATTCTAATGAAATTAAATTAAAAACACAACAAAGGAGAAGAAACAAGAAAAAAAAAACAGAAATTCAAATTAATAAAGAGCCTAAATTGAGGATGAAATCCGAGGTAACAGTTATCATTTTTGCTGTAGACAAAGGCAAAACGCGGTTATAAACTTCATGACACTTATTAAGGTCTAAGTAATCTATTACCAGTGTCATGATTGTTTATCTTCTTTACTTTTTTTAAACTTGCTTTTTATCTCCTCTTTTAAAGGATTTACGTGCCGAAAACTCTCCTTCACAAATGACGTGCAAATTTGGCCCGAGAGTTGTGTTTTATACAATCAAAGATACGGCTCAATTTGCTCATTTTCCTGCGCTAATGGAAAACAAATTAGTGGCCCTTCATCTGCTCGGTGCGGCATAAGAGGATACTGGAGCGGGGTAGTGAAAGAAGTCAGCTGTAATGGTTCGTATAATTCTAATTTTTGTTTTTTACTTCTTGTTACCCTTGTTTTTCTCTTGATGTTCCAAGCAGCGTTAAAAAAATAATGGTGCGAATGTTGTAAAAGAATTAAAGCCCGAAGTCACTGGTTAATATTGGTCCATGGAAGAACGAGCTAGGGGTAATGTTACCCAGTACTTTATTAATAAACAAGCATATAAAATTATTTTCCATCACGGGAAACAAAACGCTTCAGATCTGCATCCAAGTATATATAACAATGCTCGGTGCAGTTGGGCCATAGGATCGACGTGGAACATGTTAACTCATTATCAAATTTTTAGAAATAGGATTTTGGCCGTCTCAGCAGGTCCTAAAATTGCCAGGGAAAAAAGGCATCCACCATTTCTTCCACTCATTTTAAAGAGTTTTAGGGGCAGCCTCAAAAACTTCGATTAGAATTTCACATGACGTCACGACCGCCATGTTGGTGTGCCAAACCCTTCCTGTGGGAGTTGAACCTTTTTCTTATGTAAAAACGTTCTTTTTTTTCCAATTTGCATAGCTGCTGGCCACGTGGGTAAAACACTTTATACTAAAACATTGCGAACAGTGAAAACGTCGCCCTACTATTTTTAATTTTTGTCAGGCCCAGTTCAAACGTCGAACTTTTCATTGCCAAACTCCTTCAATTAAGTACAAGATTGGCGTTTGAATCAATTAAGTCGGACATAACTAATTTGGCTCGACCCATGCGCACGTGGGAATTCCGACTTAGGAACGAGGTCGACTGACTTTCATGTGCCGAACCTAATGCATAAATTACTATCATTTATTTTCACTTGTAACCGTTGTAGACTATGCTAACATCTTGAAAATGAATTGAGTCCGACTAATTTTTAGTTTGACGTATGATTCAACCATGGGATCAATTGGGTTGACCCAAATAGCTATTAAGCTCGGTACATGAAAGGTTCGACGTTTGAATTGGGTCTTAGTCCCCTTCTTTCCCATTCGCCCGTAGTGAATTATCGTTTTCAACATTTTAATTTATTGTTTCATAACTCTTAAAAAGAGCAAGGCAGGTTTTTATGGAATTTTCATTGACAGAAACACATCCATTGGATTTCCAAGTAGCACTCAATCTTTGTGGCATTGCCTTTTAATTTGCTTTGTTATTCAGAGTGTCAAGAGGCTCTCGGTATGGAGAAAGGAGCGATCACTGACGGGCAGATTAGTGCTTCGTCACAGCTTGATGCCAACCATGAAGCCAGCCAGGGTAGACTGAACTTGAAAGGATCGTGGTCAGCTTACGCTAATGACGCTAATCAATGGCTACAGATTGATCTAGGTAGCAATCCTGTCACTGTCACACGGGTGGCAACGCAAGGAAGTAATTTAAAGAGCCATTGGGTAATAAATTACACGCTGAAATACAGCGACGACGGTCTGAATTTCCAGTTGTACAAACAACATGGACAAAGTGAACACAAGGTTAGACACCTCTGCAGACATTTACATTGTGGGGAGTTTGTTACTTTTTTAAAGATGTGACTGTTGCTTGTCAAAAACATTAGTAGATGCAGCAAATAGTTGACTAAGGAAGCAAAATAAAGTTCAGTAATCTGTTTCACTGCATGTAACCCTTAAACCCAAAAAAGGTATTATCAATGTAATCATGTTGTAAGTTTTGAGATCTTGAGCATCCTTTACCCCTTCGTTAGTGAAGTGTACTTTTGTTCTTCGTCATTTCGTTCACCGTGCTTAATATCCTCATTCAACTCCCTCTGAGGAGTCAGTCGGGGTGAGTGAGGCTAATAAAAGTTTCCAGCACCAAGCAAACACGAAGGGGGTTCATTTGGGGTCGAGGATAATTTGTGGTCCGTTTTAGCCATCCTTTCCCTTTTGGGGTGTTGTGGTAGGGGCTCATTTGCGGTACTGTACAGTTCCCCTGTTCCCCAAAATAATTTTGAAATTCATTGTTTTCTAAAAGTAATTTTAATTAACATGTTCCCCAAAATTCAATGCTGTCAGCTTTCCGAAGTTTCAAACACATAGAGTTATAATGGGGGCAGGCCTAACCTATTGCAGAACCTGAAAAGGCACCTCGGTGACGCGTAAAGAAAAAATCGTCAGCAGTTCTTAGGAAGGAAAAAAACGACTTCAGGCCCCAGTCTACTCGCAACCAAGTCACAACCAACTGCAATAGACCAGAGAAGCAGCAAAATTGTCAAATATAAGAAGTCTGACAGTACAGTGTAAAAGTTTATGCGAAAACGATATTATTTTAAACTAGAAAATCAATGTGACCCTGTTACTGGAAAGACTCAGCCATTAACCTTTTCCTTAGAGGTCATTTCAGGATACCTCTCGCTTCGTCCTAAAAGTAAATGGACAACGTCCCTTTTGTTCCCCAAAACCACTGCTCAAATTTCATATTCATAGTGTATGTTTCAAAGTCCATTGTAAAAAATTAAGTACGATAATCGAGTAAAAGAAACCCTCCATACTATTACAACATCAGTAACATTCACCAGAAAGCACTAGCTTTTCTCCAAATGATTTCACTTCGCAACCAAAAACAATCATATTTGCATGTCTACATGCTACTATGAACAGCTTTCATTCGTATCAGAGGTTACGTCTAGGTGTGCAGGGACCCGAGGGGTGTTCTGAAATTCAGTACCTGGTAACACAAAATGTCATCCTTAGATTTTGAATAGCAGGCAAATGGCGCCAAAACCCTGACTAATTGTCCATCTAAGGGAGCGGTCATTAACTATTGGGGGGAGGGCTGGTAAATTTTGGGGGAGGGATGCGATTTTTTGGGCGCCAGTTTGGGGAGGACTAAAATTTTCTGAGCCCGTATGAGGGGAGGGTTACAATTTTCTGGGCGCCTTTGGGCGATGTGCGCGTACTAATGGGTTTTGTGTTACTGAAATATTAAGCACTGCTTGAAATACCATGGCCGTGCAAGTAATATTAACAGAATTGCACTGACTCAAAGATGAATCGCACTGTTAAAAAGCACTCTGATTGGCTGGAGATGAGGAGTGACTTCACATGGAATAGTTTGCAATTTGCTTGACTTTGAAATGGCTTTGAAAACAGCGCACGGGAATTATGAATAACGAGACTGAGAACTGAAAGCTAAACAAAATAGACCTATGAATTAATTGCCTTCGATCCAGGGAATGCAGGATATGTCGTTTCCGAGAGTCCAATTTTCATTTTATTTTTTTTGTCCGGGGAAACATGCCCCCGAACCGCCTTATATAATTCGTACATTTGGGGCTGACAGTACACTTGTTTCTCCAGAAAAAAACAAAAAAAAAAAAACTCCATACCAGGACAAAATGAATGATGATACCGAGAAACAGTGGTCCAAAATCTACATAATTCTGGATGAAAACAGAAGTTTGAACACCAAAGAAACTACAAAAAAAAAAAACAAGAACAATAACTAAAGCTGCAGTAAAACGGGCAACAAAAAACGTGTAACTTGTTTTGCAACATTCCTGCAAACCAAGTTGAATAGCGATGTTGCGCGTTTTACCACCCATGTTCGACCCTGTCTTGCAAAAAATAAGGTTGTAAGGTTTGCTTTCGTGGGTGGTAAAACGAGCAACATCACTATTCAACTCATTTTGCAGCCATGTTGCAAAACAAATTGCGCGCTTTTTGTTGCCCGTTTTACCGTTCCTTAGGTAGCCAATGAGAACATCATTAAATGAATAGGTGATCAAAAGTCTTCGTGAATCATGAATCTGGAAGAAAATCATGAATCATTGAGGTAAAAAACGACAGGAATCATGAATATTAAGATTCAAATGATTCTGCTTCTAACTCAGAAAATATTGTAAATAGTAACACTTTTTTATTCCAGTGAAATAATTGTCTCAAAGTTACGCTGATATGGATTCTCGCCATGCAACATTCGAATACTCAAAATGTTATTAGGGGAGGGTTACAATTTTTTGGGCACACATTTTTGGAGGGCAGGATTTTTGGGCTGTTAACCTGAGAGAGGCTAAAATTTTTGGGCCCTCACTTTTGAAATAATACCGGCCCTCCCCTCCCCCCCCCCCCAACCCCCCCTCCCCAATAGTTAATGACCGCTCCCTAACTACTGTTTTTTATTTTCTTTTTTTGGGCCTGATTCAGGTGTTTGTTGGCAACACAGACGAGAATACTATCGTTTATAACGAACTCAATGGGTCGATTGTGGCCCGCTACACACGTTTTCAACCAACATCTTGGCATAACCACATATCAATGAGGGTGGAACTATATGGCTGCAAAGGTACTTTTTTTGGTAACATCCTTCTTTTGTGGAATTCGGTAAAAAATACAAACAAATCCTTGTTTGATTTATCACTTTTGGCGGCCTTTACTACTTTATTGCTAAATAAATATTAATGTTTACATTTACCGTCATGGCGTTTCGTGACCGCTGAAGAAGCCTTTCATTCTGATACTTTGACTTCGTCGTGACTTCATAGAATGCCCAATATAGAGAAGAAGGAATTCATGACTCACGTTGTGGAAACCCTTTGGGAAAACAACAAACAATAACAAACAAACAAAAATAAAGTTCAGACGAACTGAGAAATATTTCATCTCAAAGCTTTGTTATTGAGCTTATTGTGTTGTGGTTCAATTTTTTTTCTTGGTTTAGATTTCATTTTCCTTTGTTTTAATGTCATTGTCAAAGCTTTATCATACATTACGATACCCCGAAACAAAGGAAAATAAAATTTAAACCATGGATAAAATTGAACCAAAAAATATACATGCCTTTTTCGTTCGCAGTTAAGGAGTCCTAGGTCTACTTTAAATGCTTATGATTCTAAAGATTATAAAGGGCCGCGAACGACCGAAGTATGATGAAATCAAGAGTAGCTTATTATAGGTTTGTTTGGTATCGCCATCTTTACTATTGGGATTAACTTGTTTGTTTTGGTAGGAAACCCCGTATACAGCCGCTGGCTTCTAGACGGTAGTGATTCAGATTTGAGGTAAGTTGGGTTACATATATATATATTGTTTGTCCAAGGTTGTGGGTGCCTTACCCTTGTTTTCGGATTTATCTTTCCCTCTTAACTTTCTTTAACTCTTAAATATATTTTCGGATTGACCATTCTCTCTTGATCACATCCAGCTATCAGTATTGCCTCAAACTTGTGTATTTGCCTTTCCAACTGCTGCAGGTGGCATTACACTCATGGCGTTACCTGATTAAATTTTTGTCTTATAACGTAGGAGTAGGGGGTAAAATAGTGGCTTGCATGTTCCTATGACAGGTACTTCTTTTATTCACAGCTAGATTATTTTCATTGGTTTTTGTGATCTTACAGGTATTTTGGTACCGTTAACCATACTGAAGGCTGGTGTCCTGGAAGCAAAGCGGCGAGTTTCAGTCAAATTGGTTCTTATGCCACTATGCCCAACGTGAACATAACAACCTGTGACTTTACAATTGCATTTTGGGTAAAGTATACTGGTGTTGACGGGCCTATACTGGCACTTTGGTCAAAGGGTGGAAAACTATTTTACGTTGCAGTCAAGAATTCTCGACTAATTTTATCGATACACAACACTTTCAACTTACAAATCAATTACTGGAATCACGTAGCAGTAACCTGTCAGCTGCACAAGATCAAGGTGTTCGTTAATGGTGAGGAGGAGGCATTGATAGACGAATGGAATGAGTATTTCTTTTCATCGTTAGGCTATTATCAGCCAGAGTACATCATAGGGAATGATCCAGTTTTGGTCCAGATGCCAATGGCAAATGGGGTGTTTGTTGGAGCAGTCATGGATCTTTATGTGACTGGAAAAGCTTTATCTGCGAAGCAGGTCTCTGACCTGAGTAAAGGTGAGAGTAGTATCTATTCAAGGTTAAGTCGTATTCTTCAACTGCAGTCTCAAATCCTCAATAGGGGTCTGTTGGATATTAAAATACGTATATTGTTCTTTTACGGTCTTTGCTTGACAATTAAGGGCAGCTTGAAACTTTTAAAAAACGCAAACTTAATTATTAACGTTAAGCGTGGAAATAAATAATTAATCGTAGTATTATTCTCATTTTTTAAAGGCAAACCAATTACACCTGTGATAAACAAGGAAGAGTCGGAAATACATGGTTGCAAAGTCAATGTAACGTGGAGTAGAAAGGAAATATGCACCATAACGAAGACCACTGTACGCTTCAGGGAGATAAAACCTCAAGGCGATGAAGCAGAATGGACAGAATATAATGTTTCTTCAACCACCTATTATCTCCTATATCTGGAATGCGACAAGAGATATGAAATTGCAGTATCTTCTTGGTTTCGAGAAGTTCAAAGCGAGTGGTCAGTCCCTCGGAAATTTAAAACTACCTTTGCAGGTGAGACGTTACCTCATGTACACTGTATGTCCAATAGCTGATAGGGGTTTGGTATTGATACTAAGCTATATCTAGTGCGGCAAACCTCTGCCAGGGTCCATAAGCGGAGCGGTCAGCCGGTCATCTCTTTGTAGGGAAGCGGACATCCCCTTTTAGCTCCCTCAGAAGCTACGTGGACAACAAAACAAATCAAGACGGAAATTTATCACGAGAAATCCTTTGATGTTTTAATAACACCAACAAACATGAACAGATTAGCCACCGCATATTGGAAAGTAATCTGTAATTTTTATACATTTAGCGATCGTTCTCCTCCAATTAGTCTGTCAAGACCTTGTATATATACATTTTTCATAGCCATCTTGACCATCCACCCCCTTACCCTTCCCCCAACTGGCAAAACTAAGCGAGGAAGACAAACTGATGTGACACAATCGCTGTTTTCGACTTTGACTCGTCCGTCTATATACCGTGAATACTTGACTGTCGCCCAGCTTAGAATTGCTTTCCTCCACCCATCTACTAAGGCCAAAGTAGTAATGGTGTCTTTGATAGGACTTGTCCTAAAGCAGGAAAACATTCTGGATTACTCTGTAATAAACTTTACAAAATCTGTCGTTCTGTTTTCAAAGATCTTACAAAGATGGCGACATGGAAAAAGCAATGATCAACATTGTTGACAGGAGATAATTTTTTTTTTTTCAACGTTGTTGACAGGAGATATATTATTATTTTTTGGTTGATTTTGTTACGTTTTGTTTCGTTTTATTTTGTTTAATTGTTTATTTTTCTTTTGTAGAAGACACTCTAAAGCAATATCTGAAGGACGAAAATTGTCATTATCATTTTCCTTTTTCCTTGATAAACAGTAGTTTCGAAATTAAGAAAAAGAAAATTGTTGACATGTGTTCAAGTCCTCCATAAAACGTAAAATTTGGCAGTTTTACGCCTTGGTCGCACGTGACGGTAAAGCACTGGGATGTTACTAAAACGGGGAACGGAGAGCAGGGAACGAGCAAAGGGGGATGGGAAAATGAAAAGTGCGAACAAAACAGAGATTTTGAAACCAAGTTACTGAGAGGGCTAGGGTTGAAATTAGGTTTTGTTCCCATTTTTCATTTTTCCGTTTCTTGTGCTCGTTCCTTGTTTTAGTTACATTCTAGAGAACTGGAAAAAAAAGGGTGCTGCATCCCATGCGGGGGGGATTACTCGGATTTATTTCAAGTGACAGGGATGATCGAATGGGGGCAAAAATGGAAACCTAAGAAAATCCCTTGGACTTAAAACACCCCCCTCCCGCCACAAAAAAAAACCTGGACCAACATTAACCCCCCCCGCCCCCCCCCAAAAAAAGAAAAAAAATTCGAGAAAGCAATAAATGATATAAGACCCAAACAAATCCGTACTTAAATTAAGCTACCAAAAAAATACTTGCCAAAATTCTCCTAAACAAAAAAAAACCCAAAATCCTTCGATCATCCCTGTCAATTGAGCTCCGGAGTACCCACCCCCCCCCCCCACCCCACTGGGCGGCAGCACGTCCAAAGTTATTGTTCTGCCAATACAAACCTTTTGCTTTTTTGCCCCTCTCGTTACCTTTTTGCCTATTAATAACCGACAACGTCTGCCATTATTCTTCTTGTTGTAATTATTCCGTTTTATGCTACCCGAAGCATTCAAAGTAACAATGAAAACAATAGGATAAAGATAAAGATTACACACGATATACGTATTCGTATCCCAAAATAAGTTTAATGGAACGAATCCTAAGCAGGCCCCCGTGTTTGTTTTGTTAGGAAACCCCGTATACGGCCGCTGGTTTCTAGACGGTAGTGATTCAGATGTAAGGTTAGTAGCGGTTATACATATCTAGTTTGTTCAATTAATATAATGTTGGGGCCGGAGGTGGGCGGAAAAGGAAGTGGCGTTGGATTCTTATACCTTACCCCTGTTTGATGTCGCTTTTTTTCTTTTTTATTATTTCAACCGATTTTGCGCGAGAACCTTTTCTTTGTTTCTTACTTTTTCCTAACTCTTAAATAAAATTTCAGATCGACCATTTCATAAGAAATGCAGGTTTCAGCACTGCTTTAAACTTATGCATTTGCATTTCTGACTGCTGCAGGTGGCATCATTATACCCAGCGTTCACCGGTTAAATTTTTGTCTCATAACGTAGGATTATATTCGAGGATAAAATAGTGGCTTGCATGTTTCTATGATAGGTAATTCTGTTTATTCGCAGCTAGATTCTATTCATTGTTTTTTTGTGATCTTACAGGTATTTTGGTACCGTTAACCATACTGAAGGCTGGTGTCCTGGAAGCAAAGCGGCGAGTTTCAGTCACAATGCTTCATATGCTACTGTGCCCAACATTAACATAAGAACCTGTGACTTTACAATTGCATTTTGGGTAAAGTATATTGGTGTTGACGGGCCTATACTGGCACTTCGGTCAGAGGGTGGAAAAGTATTTTACGTTACAGTCAAGAAATCCCGTCTTCTTTTATCGATAGACAACACTTTCAACTTACAAATCAATTACTGGAATCACGTAGCAGTAACCTGTCAGCTGCACAAGATCAAGGTGTTCGTTAATGGTGAGGAGGAGGCATTGATAGACGAATGGAATGAGTATTTCTTTTCATCGTTAGGCTATTATCAGCCAGAGTACATCATAGGGAATGATCCAGTTTTGGTCCAGATGCCAATGGCAAATGGGGTGTTTGTTGGAGCAGTCATGGATCTTTATGTGACTGGAAAAGCTTTATCTGCGAAGCAGGTCTCTGACCTGAGTAAAGGTGAGAGTAGTATCTATTCAAGGTTAAGTTGTATTCTTCGACTGCAGTCTCAAATCCTCAATAGAGGTCTCTTGGATGTTAAAATACGTATATTGTTCTTTTACAGTCTTTGCTTGACAATTAAGGGCAGCTTGAAACTTTTAAAAAATGCAAACTTAATTATTAACGTTAAGCGTGGAAATAAATAATTAATCGTAGTATTATTCTCATTTTTTAAAGGCAAACCAATTACACCGGTGATAAACAAGGAAGAGTCGGAAATACATGGTTGCAAAGTCAATGTAACGTGGAGTAGAAAAGAAATATGCACCATAACGAAGACCACTGTACGCTTCAGGGAGATAAAACCTCAAGGCGATGAAGCAGAATGGACAGAATATAATGTTTCTTCAACCACCTATTATCTCCTATATCTGGAATGCGACCAGAAATATGAAATTGCAGTATCTTCTTGGTTTGGAGAAGTTCAAAGCGAGTGGTCAGTCTCTCGGAAATTTAAAACTACCTTTGCAGGTGAGACGTTACCTCATGTACACTGTACGTCCAATAGCTGATAGGGGTTTGGTATTGATACTAAACTATATCTACTGCGGCAAACCTCTGCCAGGGTCCATAAGCGGAGTGGTCAGCCGGTCACCTCTTTTGTAGGGAAGCAGACATCCCCTTTTAGCTCCCTCAGAAGCTACGTGGACAACAAAACAAATCAAGACGGAAATTTATCACGAGAAATCTTTTGATGTTTTAATAACACCAACAAACATGAACAGATTAGCCACCGCATATTGGAAAGTAATCTGTAATTTTTATACATTTAGCGATCGTTCTCCTCCAATTAGTCTGTCAAGACCTTGTATATATACATTTTTCATAGCCATCTTGACCATCCACCCCCTTACCCTTCCCCCAACTGGCAAAACTAAGCGAGGAGGACAAAACTGATGTGACACAATCGCTGTTTTAGACTTTGACTCGTCCGTCTATATACCGTGAATACTTGATTGTTTCCCAGCTTAGGATTGCTTTCCTCCCCACACCTTCTAAGGCCAAAGTAGTAATGGTGTGTTTGATAGGGCTTGTCCTAAAGCAGGAAAACATTCTGGATTACTCTGTAATAAGGGAAAGTTCATTTAATATGACAAGGGGGGGGGATGAAGATATTGAAACTCGAAGCTTGAAATTTTAGCAGCCCCTTCGCTAGCGGTTCAATTTTTAGGAGCCCCCCTCCTTGGTAGTCGAAAAAATTTCAGAGCCCCCCCTTCAATTCCTTTGCTCCCCTGAAAAAAGATCACTAGACTGTATTAAATATATTTACTGTTATTGCCTTCAGTGGTTTATACTATGACAAACTTGAGATACAGTTGTGATACAATTTTCTAAAGCATTTTTAGGATGAACAAGAGTGTAATAATTACTGAGACTACATTTGTTATATCTGTAAACCACGTGATATAGCTGAGTTGCACAGGTCATTAAATTGTTGAGTTGAAAACCATCCGATCTGTATGATGATGTCATGTGTTGGTTTTGAAGTATACAAATTTTCGGAGCCCCCCCCCTCCTAGCGCAACAATTTTTTCAGAGCCCCCCCTTCGGGTGTCTAAAAATTTTCGGAGCCCCCCCTCAATATCTTCATCCCCCCCCCCCTTGTCATATTAAATGAACTTTCCCTAAACTTTACAAAATCTGTCGTTCTGTTTTCAAAGATGTTACAAAGATGGCCAAATGGAAAAAGCAATGATCAACATTGTTTACAGGACATAATTTTTTTTTTCAACATAGTTGACAGGAGATATATTATTATTATTTGTTTTGTTTTGTTACCTTTTGTTTCGTTTTATTTTGTTTAATTGTTAATTTTCTTTTGTAGAAGACACTTTAAACCAATATCTCAAGGAAGAAAATTGTCATTATCGTTTTCCTTTTTCCTTGAGAAACAGCAGTTTCGAAATTAAGAAAAAGAAAATCGTTGTCATGTGTTCAAGTCCTCCATAAAACGTAAAATTTGGCAGTTTTACGCCTTGGTCGCACGTGACGGTTAAGCACTGGGATGTTACTAAACGGGGAACGGAGAGCAGGGAACGAGCAAAGGTAGCCTCCCCGCAGACGTCCTTTGGGGTTCGTTTGTCACGCATTCATTTCTCCCCCACGGACGTCTGCTAAACACAGCCGACATTTACGTTCTGGATTGTTTGAATAAGCCAATAAGCGGTTAGTTATTGTGTCACGATCAGCCAATCACGCGCTGTGATATAAGTGATGTCTCAAGTGAATTATTTATTTTCACGGCTATCTTCTACCTGAGACGACTCAAACGTTTTGAAAAAATTACAGAAACGATGCAATAAAGCTGCAGTCAGCTGTATATTTTTTTTCGGAAGTTGTGACTATAAAATAATCTGCTTTTCTTTGAAAGACTTCAGACAACAGTCTCCCACACGAGCACGGAGCGGTTTTCAGCGCGGTCGAAAACAATAATTACTATTAACTCTGTATATATTCGATGTATTAAGAAAAGAGAACTTGTAAACGTGTATAGGGAAGATATTCAAAGCATTCTTCGAAAACAAAGGCCGTTTCCTAGTTTGCGAAATGTAATTCCACCAAGGTCATGGATCGCGGACCAAGGAGCAGTACGCAAAATTTGGTTATATTTTTTCAAGAGTCAGTAAAACAAAAAATTCGAAGTCTACAGCAATGTGCTTCCAACGGCAGAAAAAGGTTTATCTGAAAACTTGTTCTGCAAAAAGGCACGTCCTCCCGTTGCGTTTTATTTATTCACAAGCTAACTAAACATGACCACGGTGCCGCCGAGTCCAAACTAAAAGCTAGAACGACAAATTAACCTACCTGTCAACAAACTTTAATCTCGCTCCTTCAAAGAAAGAAAGAATGCTTATAATCAATAAATCATTGAACCTTTTATTGTTCATTGTATTTTATTTCTCGACGAAATATTTAATCACGCTCGGGAAAGTCGCCAACCAAGGACCACATACTAACTGTACAAGTCACTCACTAACATTTCCTCCACCGGTCGATCTTCATTGAACCAAGCTTCTGGGCTTCCGTAAACAACAGAGAAAGTCCCTCTCTCGACAACCCTCATATTCTCTATGCTAATATCTCTAATATCACTGAGCGTTACAGCAGGAATACCAATATTTTCCAGCTTTGTAGATTGATCTTTCAAGATTTACCAGGGGAGAAACAACAACAACAATAATGTCCAGTAGTTCCACGCACTGTGTCGCAAACAAGCAGCAAAGCTTGATAGATAAGGGATTTGCCAAATCCCGTCGGCAAATTTATGAACTCATCGGTCTTCGCTATAAAATTTGCAGGATAGCTTCTCTCTGATACTTGTTTAACTCTGTATTAATTAGAAATTTCTCGCACACTCGATCAAAAGCCTCATTGATCGTGCGAATCTTAAAAAGCGGCTCGGGTTACGTTTTACAAAAATCCGTAAACGGCCTGTGATTGGTGAACGTAAATGTCGGCCGTGTTTAGCAGACGTCCGTGGGGGAGAAATGAATGCGTGACAAACGAACCCCAAAGGACGTCTGCGGGGAGGCTAGAGCAAAGGGGGATGGGAAAATGAAAAGTGCGAACATAACAGAGATTTTGAAACCAAGTTACTGAGAGGGCTAGGGTTGAAATTAGGTTTTGTTACCATTTTTTATTTTCCCGTTCCTTGTGCTCGTTCATTGTTTTAGTTACATTCTAGAGAACTGGAAAAAAAAAAAAAGAGAGGGTGCTGCACCCCATGGGGGATACTCCGGAATTCAAGTGACAGGGATGATCGAATGGGGGAAAAAATGGAAACCTAAGAAAATTCCTTCGGCTTAAAACCCCCCCCCCACCAAAAAAAAAAACCTGGACCCACATTTCCCCCCCCCCCCCCACCCCCCCCCAAAAATGATATAACACCCAAAAAAATCCGTACTTAAATTAAGCTACCAAAAGAAATTCTTGCCAAAATTCTCCTACCCCCCAAAAGACCCGAAATCCTTCGATCATCCCTGTCATTTGAACCCCCTTTACCCCCCCCCTCCCTCCCGCTGGGGTGCAGCACGTCCAAAGTTATTGTTCTGCCAATACAAACCTTTTCCTTTTTTGCCCCTCTCGTTACCTTTTTGCTTATTAATAACCCACAACGTCTGCCATTATTCTTCTTGTTGTAATTATTCCGTTTTATGCTCCCCGAAGCATTCAAAGTAACAATGAAAACAATAAGATAAAGATAAAGATTACACACGATATACGTATTCGTATCCCAAAATAAGTTTAATGGAACGAATCCTAAGCAGGCCCCCGTGTTTATTTTGTTAGGAAACCCCGGATACGGCCGCTGGTTTCTAGACGGTAGTGATTCAGATGTAAGGTTAGTAGCGGTTATACATATCTAGTTTGTTCAATTAATGTTGGGGCGGGGGTGGGCGGAAAAGGAAGTGGCTTTGGATTCTTATACCTTACCCCTATGTTCGGATGTCGTTTTTTTTTTTTTTCCAACCGATTTTGCGCGAGAACCTCTTCTTTGTTTCTTACTTTTTCCTAACTCTTAAATAAAATTTTAGATCGACCATTTCATATGACATTTAAGTTTCAGCACTGCTTTCAACTTATGCATTTGCATTTCTGACTACTGCAGCAGGTGGCATTATACTCAGCGTTGACCGGTTAAATTTTTGTCTCATAACGAAGGATTATATTCGAGGATAAAATAGTGGCTTGCATGTTTCTATGATAGGTAATTCTTTTTATTCACAGCTAGATTCTATTTATTGGCTTTTGTGATCTTACAGGTATTTTGGTACCGTTAACCATACTGAAGGCTGGTGTCCTGGAAGCAAAGCGGCGAGTTTCAGTCAGAATGGTTCCTATGCCATTGTGCCCAGCATTAACATAACAACCTGTGACTTTACAATTGCATTTTGGGTAAAGTATATTGGTGTTGACGGGCCTATACTGGCACTTCGGTCAAAGGGTGGAGAACTATTTTACGTTACAGTCAAGAATTCTCGACTCATTTTATCGATACACAACACTTTCCATTTACAAATCAATTACTGGAATCACGTAGCAGTAACCTGTCAGCTGCAAAAGATCAAGGTGTTCGTTAATGGTGAGAAGGAGGCATTGATAGACCAATGGAATGAGTATTTGTTTTCATCGTTAGGCCATTATCAGCCAGGGTACATCATAGGGAATGATCCAGTTTTGGTCCAGATGCCAATGGCAAATGGGGTGTTTGTTGGAGCAGTCATGGATCTTTATGTGACTGGAAAAGCTTTATCTGCGAAGCAGGTCTCTGACCTGAGTAAAGGTGAGAGTAGTATCTATTCAAGGTTAAGTCGTATTCTTCGACTGCAGTCTCAAATCCTCAATAGGGGTCTGTTGGATGTTAAAATACTTATATTGTTCTTTTACAGTCTTTGCTTGACAATTAAGGGCAGCTTGGAACTTTAAAAAAATGCAAACTTAATTATTAACGTTATGCGTGGAAATAAATAATTAATCGTAGTATTATTCTCATTTTTTAAAGGCAAACCAATTACACCCGTGATAAACAAGGAAGAGTCGGAAATACATGGTTGCAAAGTCAATGTAACGTGGAGTAGAAAAGAAATATGCACCATAACGAAGACCACTGTACGCTTCAGGGAGATAAAACCTCAAGGCGATGAAGCAGAATGGACAGAATATAATGTTTCTTCAACCACCTATTATCTCCTATATCTGGAATGCGACAAGAGATATGAAATTGCAGTATCTTCTTGGTTTGGAGAAGTTCAAAGCGAGTGGTCAGTCTCTCGGAAATTTAACACTACCTTTGCAGGTGAGACGTTACCTCATGTACACTGTATGTTCAATAGCTGATAGGGGTTTGGTATTGATACTAAACTATATCTAGCGCGGCAAACCTCTGCCAGGGTCCATAAGCGGAGTGGACAGCCGGTCATCTCTTTGTAGGGAAGCGGACATCCCCTTTCAGTTCCCTCAGAAGCCACGTGGACAACAAAACAAATCAAGACGGAAATTTATCACGAGAAATCCTTTGATATTTTAATATATACATATTTTTTAATATATATATACATTTTTCGGGGCCATCTTGACCATCCACCCCCTTACCCTTCCCCCAACTAGCAAAACTAAGCGAGGAGGACAAAACTGATGTGACACAATCGCTGTTTTAGACTTTGCTTCGTTCGTCTATATACCGTGAATACTTGATTGTCGCCCAGCTTAGAATTGTTTTGCTCCCCCCATCTTCTAAGGCCAAAGTAGTAATGGTGCCTTTGATAGGACTTGTCATAAAGCAGGAAAACATTCTGGATTACTCTGTAATAAACTTTACAAAATCTATCGTTCTGTTTTCAAAGATGTTACAAAGATGACGAAATGGAAAAAGCAATGATCAACATTGTTGAGAGGAGATAATTTTTTTTTTTTTTTTTTCAACGTTGTTGACAGGAGATATATTATTATTTTTTGGTTGATTTTGTTACGTTTTGTTTCGTTTTATTTTGTTTAATTGTTTATTTTTCTTTTGTAGAAGACACGCTAAAGCAATATCTGAAGGACGAAAATTGTCATTATCATTTTCCTTTTTCCTTGATAAACAGCAGTTTCGAAATTAAGAAAAAGAAAATTGTTGTCATGTGTTCAAGTCCTCCATAAAACGTAAAATTTGGCAGTTTTACGCCTTGGTCGCACGTGACGGTAAAGCACTGGCATGTCACTAAAACGGGGAACGGAGAGCAGGGAACGAGCAAAGGGGGATGGGAAAATGAAAAGTGCCAACAAAACCGAGATTTTCAAACCAAGTTACTGAGAGGGCTAGGGTTGAAGTTAGGTTTTGTTCCCATTTTTCATTTTCCCGTTCCTCGTGCTCGTTCCTTGTTTTAGTTACATTCTAGAGAACTGGAAGAAAAAGGGTGCTGCACCCCATTAAGGGGGGAGAGTTCTCCGGATTTCAAGTGACAGGGATGATCGTATAGGGGCAAAAATGGAAACCTAAGAAAATCCCTTAGGCTTAAAACAGCCACCCCCCCTCCCCGCTAAAAAAAACCTGGACCAACATTAACCCTCCCTTTCCCCCCGTCCCCCTCAAAAAAAAAAAAAATTCCAGAAAGCAATAAATGATATAACACCGCAACAAATCCGTACTTAGATTAAGGTACCAAAAAAAATTCTTTCCAAAATTCTCCTAAACAAAAAAAAAACCGAAATCCTTCGATCATCCCTGTCAATTGAGCTCCGGAGTACCCTCCCCACCCCACTGGAGTGCAGCACGTCCAAAGTTGTTGTTCTGCCAATACAAACCTTTTGCTTTTTTGCCCCGCTCGTTACCTTTTTGCTTATTAATTACCGACAACGTCTGCCATTATTCTTCTTGTTGTAATTATTCCGTTTTATGCTACCCGAAGCATTCAAAGTAACAATGAAAACAATAAGAAAAAGATAAAGATTACACACGATATACGTATTCGTATCCCAAAATAGGGACCTTACGATCCGACAACGGCGACGGCGACGTGGGACTTTTTTACTTCCGGTTACGTACTGCGCATGAGTAGATTTCTGAGACGGCGGTGTCCCTTCACGCGCGGACGTCTAGAAGCCTTGTTTGACGTTGTGCGAAAACGTGGAAATTAAAACCCAACTATGGCAAAGGAATCAAGGTAAAAACGAGACTTTGCGACTAAATTTAAAGAATACTAGTTTGTATGAAATGTCCGAAACGAATAGAACGTGGAGTCTTTTGTATACGACCACAAACTGAATGGAGAGAGATTTGACTTATTTTGCTTTGTATTTGTTTGTGATTGTACTTCACTCGCTATCACTGAGCTTTCTTATCACTTACTTTCTGTTACTTTCCAACTTTTTTCTCGATCAAAAAAAGAGAACAATTAAGCTTAATTTTTTTTTGGGTTCACTAGGAAATAGTAGAGAGATTTTGTCGGCAGCGGTACTAGATTCGACCGATGCAAAGTGTATAAATACTTTCATTGAGCTAATTTTCATTTATAATCGTAGATTAACCTTATTTTACAAGGAACTCACTGGCTGGGTTGAACAGTTATATCGACGAATTCCGACTACCGCAAATATTGCTATATTTATAACTGAATCAAAAACAAATACAAAACAGAGACGTTCACATAATTTCCACTGTTTCCTAATTAAAGAAGAATTATTTTACAAAATCCAAACTTTATTGATTGCCCAATATTTTGCTCCAAATGCTACACATTTTTTAGTAATTCTTGACTGTTTTCATTTGAAAGCGTCCTTCCAACCTTAATTGCATGTTTCCCTCATTCGGAAGGCAAAGGATAACCATCATGTATTCTCATGATCATTTCTTTATCTGTCAACAAGTTCAGCTAATTTATTGGAGGACTAAAGAAAACAAAGATATTGTCAAATATTATGATGATCTAGTTAATACCACCCAAAGCAAGTTATGTTATTTGTTTTAAAAATTTTGATCATGATTAGGACCAAGTGCTAGTAAATCTCAGATACAATGATAATTTTATTGTTAGCAAATTTTGCTGATATACTGATAGTTCTTCCTCATGAAGTAATTTTTGTTACACTGCACTTTCAGTCAATCAATGAAATGGACTGAAGAACACGAATTGCTTATGTTGAGGGAATTGATGCTTTTGCAGCCATGGCTGCACAAGAAAGGAACTAGTGAGAGAGGAGATGATTGGGAAAAGCTGGCAGTATCCTTAAATGCTATTCCTTATCCCCAATTCCGTGTTACTCAACGGTCTGTTCGTGACCACTATTCAACAATGGAAAAGAGAAGAAGGAAAAAAGTCAGGGAAGAAGACAGAGCCTCAGGTATTACCCCTGAAGAGGACAAGGAACTAGATCAACTGTTAGATGAAACCATTGAACTCTTTGATGAGTCTGACAAAATCACAGATCAAACAAAACAAAAGCAGGAAGAAGAAGCAAAGAAAGCAGAGGAAATGCGGAAGAGATCATTGGAAACTTTTAAAGATAGCGCCAAAAGGAATGCCGATGAACAGCAAGGAGCAAGACCGAAAAAGGGTAGAGCTAGTGGTGCAAGCACTCTGGCTTACCTGAAGAATAGGGCAGAAGTAGAAGCTACTTTAAAACGTGATGAATTGGAGAAAAAAAGGCAAGAGTTAGCACTGCAAGCAAAGGAGCAGGAAGGAAGACAACAGCAGTTTGATATGATGAACAAGCAAACTAGAGGTATTCAGCAGCTTCAGCAGCAGCAAATGCAGCAGTTTATGCAAATGAATGCAAACATGATGCAACAGCACCAACAACAAACCCTTGCACTTATGGAACTAATGAAAAAGTTTGCTGGGAAGTGATGCTGGTCAGTCTCTGCAAGAGGTCATTTAAACGCACAAAGAGTTCACATTTTTATTAACTTGAACATTTTCAAGGAAGTTAAAAATTAAAGATTTATAATAATAATTACTTGTTTACATATATAGTTGTAAAGGAAATGTCGCTTAATTTTGCCAACCTTTGAAAGTCGCCGAATTGATGTTATGCCAGTATCAAAACTGGGGCTGAGCCTTTATCAAGGCAATTTGGCTTATCCAACTATAGAATTGCATTACTCTCTGTAAACATGCTCACCATTATTTGTTCTCATTTAATAGTTTGTTTTGGTGGCAGTTATTTCACTTTAATTCCAATATGTTAGCCTTTCTCGATTGTATAATTTTTTTTTATTAAAAAGCAGTTCAATTTTCGAAAGGAACAGTGTTATGTAACTTTTGTAAAACCTGATTGGCAGACTTTGTGAAAATAATCCCCAATTTCTGGGGGAGAAACATCAAAGTAGTCTGATGTAGTGGATGTGGTGGATGTAGTCGAAGAGGATATGCCGGATCTCCATAAATACATAGGGGGTTCCCATTTGTGTCCACTGAAAATCGTTGCAATTGGTTTAACACTCCAGATCTAGCTAACATCCCACTGTCATGTCTCTTTCCCTCGACAGGCCCAAACAGGTTGGCAACAAGGCCACTGGGTGCTGCGATAGATTGAAACTTTATAGCATGGACTTTTTTGTGACCATTGTATAAGCACTTTTGGTTTTGTCCTGGTCGGCATATTTGGCCTCACAGTACCGTCAACAAACCCCCAACAGTTGTCAAGAGCAGCTCCCCTGTTGTGAACTGCAACGGCAAACTCCTCTAAATGATCGGGTCTTAACCAATCCTGGTTCAAATCAGTGAGAAGGCGGTTCCATGTTTGATACATCTTGTTCATAACAGCATTTGAGATCATACACAATTGTGGTTCTGGCCTTCCAAATCTGGGTATCATGTCTACGTATCTACAGGGATAGGCAAATCTTTTAAGAAAAATGCACAATGCCTCAACCATGTCGACATTTACACCATTGTAGCAAACGATCCGATCCGGTAAAGTAAACACCTCTGCCAAGTTGTAAATGTCATTCTTGTAAAATCTAAACTCAGTTTTACATTCATCATCGGTCATCTTGTCGAGATCGAAGCACTCGTAGTTAGTGTACGGTAAATCCGGATTTTTAGGCTTGTGTAAATCGTAGAGTAGCACGAATTCTTCAGCGTTAATCAAACGGGAAGCATGAGCCAGGAGAATAGTGTCACGGAACTTTGGCATGGCTTTCTAAAAAACTTTCGTTGACTTAAACACGATAAACATCAATGACCGTCGTCAACGTTCTCGCTCGCAAAATTCGTAATCTCAATTTTGGCGGGAACGCCAACACGACGTGGCCCCGCTCGACCCAGACTTCTCACGTTGCCGTTGCCGTCGCCGTTGTCGGATCGTAAGGTCCCTAATAAGTTTAATGGAACGAATCCTAAGCAGGCCCCCGT